ACACACACACACACACACACACCCCTTTATAATGATGCTCTGGGAAAGGTACTATTAATTACCCTTACTTACAGACGGCAAACAAAGTTTAACTTGTCCAGTGTCACAGAGCTACACCCAAACCTTAGGTTATAATCTTACTCGATTTTTACTATAAAAGCAACATTCTTATTGTAAACAAAATGGAAATTTCTGACCAGGATACTTGGCTGGCCTTAATATCGCCCATCGTGCACTTAAGGAGCCTGTTTGAATATATTTATGGGCAGCAGGCTGTTTGCCGTAGACAGCGGCTGGTCAGTCAGGGGAGCGCCAGGAAGGGCTGAGAGGAAACACCCATTCTCTCTCCCAGTTCCCAGCATTCAGACAGGCATCCGCAGGTCACCGGAGACCCACCCACAGGGTTCCTCCCAATGCTGGGGGCGGGGAAGGGGGAAGGGGCAAGGGAGGGAAGAGGAGGGGCAGAGCGCTGACAACAAGGGGAGTCGTGGAACCCCGGTGCTAGAAGAGCGTTGGGCCTGCACTCAGGCGCAGGAGAGACGGGGCTGTCTTTGCCGCTTGCACACAGCTGGGTGGCCGCAGTGAGAATTAAAGGGGCATGAACACCTTTTAACACCCCCAACTTGCCACTGTCCTTATTCAGTCTGATAGAAGGCATAGTGAACTTGCCCAGAGCAGGAAACCCCTCTCCTCTGGAAGCAACACTTGTAAAAGATTCAAATTGCTAGAATTTCCCCACCATGGATGTTGGTAATGGTGGCACAATATGTGAATGTACTTAATGCCACTAAACTGTAAAACTGGTCGAAATGGTAATTGTTATGTGCATTTCACCAAGAAGCATCCCTACCATATATTTTCTACACTTACAAACACATATGCTTATAAACATGCCTAAAACAATGTATATGTAAAAATACATTATAAAAATGGTTTTAAATTGGGTATGCAGGGGGGACTGCATTCTATGATATTACATGGACCTCCAATAAATTCTTTATTCAGTCCTTTACTCCTGGGCATTTAGGTTGTTCCCAGACCTCCACCATGATGGTAAATGCCCTCAGTCCTATGACACAAACACAGTTCGATTCCTTCACTGCAGGGTGACATGACTTCTATTTCTGCTACCCCCTGGAACAGCTCCATTCTCTTATGCCATTAAAAAAATGAATAAATTCAAACCTGGCCTTTTGAAATCTCAGAAGGGTACTCCTCACAGAGGAAGTCGGGCTCTCTCTGTACCCCCCTACCACAGCCAGCAGGGCTGCTGGGAAAGTGAGCTCCCGCTGTGAGCCCAGGGGTCTCTGGAAGCTGTCAGACTGAGACGGAGGCAGCACCTGCCCCGGAGAACAATCTCTGCCGCCAGGCTGACACTGCGCTCCAGTGGTTGGGGAAGCTTTTCCTTCTGTAAAAACCTAAGGTAAGGAACTTTCTCTCAGGCCTGACCAAGGTCTCCTGCCCAGCCTTGAGATGGACACAGGTGGCTCTTCTCTGCTCTCACATCTATGACATACTGGCCCGCTTTTCTCTCTGCCCGTCTTCTCCATATGATCCCCTTACATGATGGATGTCACCCCATCAGTTTTCCTTGCTACTAAAAAGCTAAGCATTCACAGAACTGTTGAAAAACAACAACTTCCCAGCCTTGCAAATCAGTAAATACAAGTTCCCAATGGGTTTCAATGTTGGCTAATTTGACTTACTACATTTTGGCAAGCTAAGCAATTCTTTAAAAAGAATTGTTTCAATTAGTTTTGAAGGTTGTATCTTTGATTGTCAGTATTCAAAGGACAGTTACAAAATACTTAACCATTACAAACATCATGTTTCCTAGGCATTTTTAAAGAATGTTTTGCATGTTACCATTTTCATCTCCATTTTGGAAGGTGGTCAGGGCATCTCCTTCCACTGCCTCCAGTCACAGAAAACAGGGTGGAGCGTGAGTCAAAGGCAAGTTCAAGGTCGCCTCCCTAGTTAAGTAGCCATGTCGCTCTAGAGTGGAGTCTGCTGACCCCAGAGTAGTGAGTGCTCTTTATTTAAAACCACATTTCACCAAAAGTTGTGTGATTACAACCATACCTAATTATAAAGAAAACACTTAAAATTCTGAAAATTAAACCAACTTTCCAGCAGTTTACAGTTACTTGTACTAAGAGAAGCAGGGACAGCCGCTGAGAGGATGTCACAGTTCCTCATCTCCCAAGCCCACTGTGTTTTCTCCACTGACAGTGAGGGATCTGGGTGGGTGTGAGCCACTGGCCCAAGGGAGGCAGGCACAGGCTCTCATCAGCCCTGGGTCAGAGGAGCGTTCACGAGTCACTGCGAGGTCACTGCGTCCTTTTGGTCAAGGATCCACCAGCTGCACAGTCTTTGCCAGCTGCACACAGACTCAGAAGCCACAAAAGCAGCAATACGGAGATGCTGACGACGGTTTTTCACACAAATGTAATTTTAAAACTTAGAACAAGGCTTACTCAAATTAAGTGGTTTAAATAATGTAACTGCCATTAACAAAAATATTTAAATTCACACGGGTTACATTTTGGGTGCAAAATCTCATGCACGTGCATGTGCACACACACCCCCACCCCAATGGAAACCTCTTCTTCCATGAGAAAGGGAACCGCAGATCCGCCCGCACGGTACCTTCTGCGAGAGAAGTGGATGTCTGTGCAAAGACCTAATCAGAATTCACCACAGACCGCGGGTGACCACGTGCTCCTGGCGGCAGCCCCATCATCAGTGTGCAGGAACAGCAGTTGGCGGACAATAAAAATAATGGCAGACCCAGAGTACAAGAAAAGCCTAAGGCAAATGGAAGAAATGTAGCTGGTGACAACATCCTAAAGGACGATAATGAAGCACAAAGGACCCCTTGAAAAGCAATGAGCAAACAGAAGAAATTAGGACAACGCAGTGAAATGAAGGAATTTCAATCTGAGCGGCAAGGCAGCAAGCCTGCCGTGAGCTGCTCTGCTCGTGGGGAGCTATTCTCTTTCTACGTTACTTCAAGATTCCAGACTAGTGTTTTATCTGAAACTCGGTAGATGAGTGGTTTAAACTGCACACATACAGAAATTCACAAGGAAAGGTTAAAGTGTTCTGAGCTGAAGAAAAGTTGTTAAAAAGCAGTGCTACATTTCATATGAACAGAAGGCACCCAGCACGCATTTCCTGGCCTTGTTTGCATCATGACGATGACATATGCTTAGAAAGCAGGTAACATTTCAAATATGACAAAGTCACGAGGGCCAGTCTCCTTCATCCAGAAATGCTCAATACGGTACCAGAGACTCTCAACTCCATTACTTGGGGTTAGGTCACAGCTCTTCCGACACCAAGAATACAAATGAGTAAACAAAGTATTCAAAACACTAGTGTCTTCTTGGCCCATTCCAAGTACCTCTGAACGACAGTTCATAAACTATTAAGGAAAAAAATATATAACACTCTGCAGTTTCATAACACGTGTTAAACACTATTAATTTTATTTAAGTTCCAACTGCCAGGTATTCTGGACAATGCTCTCTCCAAAGTACCTCAGTTTAATCCTCGCATCACCTCAAGAGTTTTACAGCAAGTTTAAGATTTCAACGGAGGTCTGGGGGCGCACCTGGGAAGCTCAGCTGCGACGACCGGTCTGAATGCTTCTCCTGGTGCGTCCACGCGGAACCACGTGCCCCTTTCGCACGGAGATTAAAACCGTCCGTGCGGCCGTGACCCGACCCGGTAAAGGCACCTGCGGGCGGGCCGACGGCACTGCCGGCCACACAGCACGCGGCCCGGCTCCCCGCCTCCCGGGGCTGTGACATCCGAACCCGGTTCCGTGGCCGGCCGACCT